AATTTTAGTAGAGACGGGGTTTCACCATGTTGACCAGGATGGTCTCGATCTCTTGACCTCGTGATCCACCCGCCTCGGCCTCCCAAAGTGCTGGGATTACAGGCATGAGCCACCGTGCCCGGCCTTTTTTTTTCTTTTTTGAGATGAAGTGTCACTCTTGTTGCCCAGGCTTGAGTGCAATGGTGTTATCTTGGCTCAGTGCAACCTCTGCCTCCCAGGTTCAAGCAATTCTCCTGCCTCAACCTCCCAAGTAGCTGGGATTACAGGTATGCGCCACCATGTCCAGCTAATTTTTGTATTTTCAGTTGAGATTGGGTTTCACCATGTTGGTCTGGTTGGTCTCGAACTCCTGACCTCAGGTGATCCGCCTGCCTCAGCCTCCTGAAGTACTGGGATTACAGGTGTGAGCCACCATGCTCAGCCCAAAGCCTATTTTTAAATAATTATAAAAATTTTTGAGTCAAAATTCAAACTTTTAAGTATGAGTTCTACCAAATATTGCTTTTGTACCATCATAAAGCTGAACCATCTGAAATTGGGGACTGTCTGTACTTAGGTTTGCATTTTAGAAGAATATCCCAAGTGTTGATGTAGACAATAATAATGACAGCATCATTAATTCCCATGTAACTACCATTTTCTGAGCTCTTGCTACATGACAGACAGGTTACTTAGTGCTTCATGTGGATAATTTCACTTAATCCTTAAACATCCTGAATTTGGTACTATTATCCTCTTTTACATGTGAAATTAAGGATAACCCATACTTATTGATGTTATCTTCTAAGAAAATAATCTACAAAAGACTGTGAATATATAAAATTATATAGTTTCTCAATAAACTCATTTTCTTCTAACATAAAATGGCAACAATATTGACAGACTCCCCTAAGAGGTTTTATAATGTTTTATCATAATGAAAGGCAACTGCATTAGTAGAACCAATCAATTCCATTCCACTTAGTTTTGGTTCTCCTACTTTTGCAACAGGTACTGCACATTTGAGTGGTAGAACTTGAGGGATAACAAACTGTGACTAATTGAAGAATAATAATTGACTTCTGGTAATCTGCTTGATCAAGTTAAATAGAAACCCAATTCCGGTATTTAAGAAAAAGTCAAATCTAAACAGATTAGAATAAATCAAATAATACTAGTTGTGGTAGGAAAGAATATTCTAAATCTAGGAATAAAGTGTTCTTTTAAAATGCCATTTAATTATATAATATCTCCCATACTGTATATTTAAGATTATACTTATATAATATACATATATGCATACATACAAAGCCTGAAGACTATAAATTACAAGAATTATAACAGACATGTTGCATTCCATCTATTCAAAGCCCACCTTTTGAGGCCCAAATTTTCTAAACATTCTTTCCTGATCTGACTCCAAAGTAATTTCTTCTGCCTTGGAACTCTTATAGCATTTTATCTATAACCCTACCAGGTCATTTTCACTTAATCTTCTATTATAATTAGTAATGTATATATTATTCTCTCCTTGTTAAATTACAAGCATATGAGGACAGGATTACTATCTGATTTGTCTTTGCATCCCTCTCAAAATCTTTGCTAACTGTGTAAGTGATCAATACCTATTTTTGAAGGAAGAAAAACAGTATAATTCTATTTCTTGACTTGTTGATGACTAAACTGTAATAATCATTACATAGTACATTTATGATATATGTACTTTTCTCAAATTATAATTTGTAATAGGGATAAAAAGAAAACAAGAAAAACAGGATATGTTGGTTATTTTATGTAAACTTGGCTGGGTCATGGGACCTAGTTTTTGGTCAAACACCAGTCCAGATGTTACTGTTATATTTTATAATATTAATATAATATAATATATAACATATACTCATAATTACTGTATAATATTGTTATATTTATACAGTTATAGTTATATTTTAGATTTGATTACCATTTAAATCAGTAGACTTTGGGTAAAGCAGATTACCTTCTATAATGTGGGTGGGCCTCATTCAATCAGTTAAAGACTTTAAGAGAAAACACAGAGGTCCTCTGAGGAAGGACAGAATTCTGCCTTCAGACTCAGACTGCAACATCAATTCTTCCCTGAGTTTCCTACAGATTTTGAACTTGCCAGCCCCTACAACTACATGAACAAATTCCCTAAAACAAATCTCTTTTCCCTTCCTGTATATATACATCCTATTGGTTCTGTTTCTCTGAGAACCCTCACTATAACATGATTATATATTGTAACTTCTGCAAATTTCTATGTATAATAACTCTCACTTATAAAAGAAACAGTATGCACCTAAAAGTATCATATTTAACATTTGTATATTCAGAAGTCAAAGTCAAAATGTCTTAAGGATCAAAACAAATAATTACTTTAAAAATTTTATATAAGGAGGCTGGGCGCGGTGGCTCAAGCCTGTAATCCCAGCACTTTGGGAGGCTGAGGCGGGTGGATCATGAGGTCAAGAGATCGAGACCATCCTGGTCAACATGGTGAAACCCCGTCTCTACTAAAAATACAAAACATTAGCTGGGCATGGTGGTGCGTGCCTGTAATCCCAGCTACTCAGGAGGCTAAGGCAGGAGAATTGCCTGAACCCAGGAGGCGGAGGTTGCGGTGAGCCGAGATCGCGCCATTGCACTCCAGCCTGGGTAACATGAGTGAAACTCCGTCTCAAAAAAAAAAAAAAAAAAAAAAAATTTATATAAGGAATAGAACGTGATGGCTGAGGTCATGAAATTAATAATTTGGAATTATTATTGCCATTGCAAAAAACAGAAACAAAAAACCAA